ATGATCTATGTATGTAGAGTACCCATTATTAGTTGAATTTAATGTATCTAAACTTTTAAATGTTTTGGGTAGCTAGACATATAAACTGAATTAATGGGTGTTAATTGAGGTAATTGATTTCGGAATGGGTAGGGCTTTTTCATTCATCATCAAATAAGAACATGCACTATGGCCTATAGGGATTAAGGTCCCGTAGTTTATAAACTTTCTTCATACTATTTAATTATGCCCTAACTGTACCACTGCTCCTCCTTAATTCCTCAATAAATAATTGCTTATCCTCTTACGTAATCCTCTATATTGCCTCCTACCGATTTCATTCATGAAATTAAAAGAAATTAAATCAAGAACAAGGCAATTCATATACATTGTAATTTGCAAATGCTACCACTAGGCTATATACCTGAACTTCTTTCATATAAATAGTACTAGAGAGTCAACTTTAAGATGCAAAAGGCATATGCAATTCATAGAGCAGAGACTAGCATTCTGGTCTATGGTTGAATTACCCAGAAATGCATTTATTCAGTCCTACTGGAAGCTGCATGATAATTTCAGATTTAATTTTAGTTAGACTGTGTTTGGTGAATATTAGTGATGATTGTTAATTAATATGGTTGAAGATTAATGTTATGCACAGTGGGTGCCATAATGCCCTAGCTGGCTATTATTATTATTATTTGTCAGGTCTACTTACTTTCCAGTTCATTTCCATTCTTTTTTTCATGTCTATTTCTTATATATGTAACTATTTATATTAAAATTCACAGAATCTATGATTTATATAAAATTAATAATTTAAATTCAAAGGAATTAATATTATTATAAGTGCTGGATGACTGTCAGGTTTTTTTCATGAGCTAATAATAATATACTAACATGGAAAGATATGATCGTTTGCTCCCTTATTATATCTGCTGACTTTTCTTTTCTTCTTCACTTTATAATTTCATTCAATTTTTTAATATGAATATCTGCAGGCATCATATGCATATGCTCCATTCTCCAATTGACTAGATGACATTGACAGGGATATGGAAAATTCCGCCTACATAATTCCATCATCATCTCAAACCATTTTTTATATAAAAAAAAAAAAAGCATAGAAATTAATATAATTCACGTTGTTATTTTATATTTATTATTTCTTAGCTAAAAACGAAGATATATAATATATACGTATCAATACAGTAGATCGAGGAGAGATATAAATAATTTTTTATCAACTATTTGTTTATATACAAACAAGTTAAAAGACTTAAAATTTAATTAATAATGTAGTAGAATCAATCATCTCATTTACTATAGTTTTTACTTCTTTCCAACCTTAACAAATTCATAACCTCAGGCCTTAAAATTGTATATTTTTTTCCTATCAAAATATGCTTAATAGTATTATCTGTGCAAGGATTTGAAAGTGCAGAGTGAATGGTTGGCCTTTAAATTCGAAACAAACTTAAAGGATGGATTTGATGCATGTTTATCTTTCAGAAACAACAAATACATATATTCTTGGGCTGAGTTTTATGACAACTTTATTTGGTTCTTCTGGTTCTGACTTGCATCTTGCTACTTCCTTTTGGTGAAAGATATCTTCAACAATCATATTATATCACTCTCTCATTCATATGAATTGGGCCTTGTCTACTTACTTTTGGTAACTGCACCTACAGTTAACTCTAACTTGGATTGGACCAAGATCTTTGCCTGAGCTGCGATTCAGTTATAATATAATATACAAATAGATGTCCACGGCCACGGTTATACGATCTTTAAAAGTTGTCCATCCAGCCTAACAAATCTCATAGGATCGTGTCCCACTGACACTGAGTAGACTCAGTTGTTTCATCCAGGAGGGTCCCCCTCGGTCAAGTTTGTCAACTTGCAGGGAAATCATTATTTGAGGCTTGTTTCTGTAGAATCCATCACACCCTTAACCCAATAACTTCTACATAATTTTAACAACAATAAAACAGGACAAGTGAAATTTGCGTTTTGGTAAGGTGGCAGTAGGAATTGGTGCATTTGAAAGGAGGGTTGTGACAACTCCAAACAGATTAAGTTCAAACATTCGGTGCCTCTTCTTGTGCACCTTAAGATTCTCCGGAAATTTAGTTCCCACAAAAAGACCCACTTTATATATTCTTCGTTTCTTTCTTTCTTTGTTCTTTACGTTTTCATACTTTTAACTTTTAGGTTCGCGTTCTCTTAATTAGAAAACCACGCTCACACTAGCACTACCAAAGACAGTAAAAGCAAGTTATGAGTTCCCGGAATTTTCTCCAAGTTGTTGCTAAGAACTTTGATGTTCTTGCTTTGTATGTACTTTCTTACCAATGCTTATGACATAATTGAATTTATCATAGAATGCAATTTACACTTGAAAGTTTAATGCATTGTGCTGTTTTGTTTTCCACTAAGTGAATTTCTCTGTTTTTGGTATGCAGGCCTCTAGTTACTCTTGTTTACCCTCTGTAAGTAGGTTTATTATCGTATTGTTTATGCTTGAGGATTTGAACAAATACTAAGTGGTGTGAATTTTGGTTCGTGCATTTATATGTTCGTGTTCTTTTGACAGATATGCTTCAATTAAGCTATAGAGGCGAAGTCTGTTTCTGATGACCACAATGGCTTACATATTGGGTTCTGTATTCTATGATCACACTCTTCGAACTTACTTTTGCCAAAATGCTTGAACTGTAACTATCTTGTTATACTTCTCAACTTTATCTGATTTCAACAATGTGGGATTTCATATTTCAATTTTACATTGCCTACTCCGGCTTTTTAATTTTGATTCAGTTTAACATGGCATCTTGGAATTACTCTGAACATGGAATATAACTGTAGAACTTAATGATCTTCATTTTAAGGAAAACTGATTATTCAACATTATTGTTTGGATCAACTTAGTAATGGACTCATTGAATAGCTTATTTTTTGTAGTGGACTCTTAAGAAAGTTTAAATATCTCATTTTGAACTGCAATTTATTCTATTCTAGGATTGCTATATGCTTATATCAGCTGTTTGTTACATGCTGGCTGGTATTACCACATTTCAATGGAGCAGCACACGTTTATCGGAACTTCATTAGACCTTTCTATAGAACCCACAAAGTGCAACTTCTAAAATCTGGTAGTCCCAAGGAAGAAGTTCTTCAGCAAACCAGTGATGTTCTAACCGCTGCTGAAAGATATATTCAAGAGCATGGTACAGAAGCATTTGAAAGGCTTATGACCAAGGTATGACTAAAATTGTTTTTTTTCTTTTTTTTGGTGCAGGACTTGGAAAGAAAAATACAAGGTCTATAAAACTTTGTTCTGCTTCACTGCTGATAAAGAGAAGCTTGCAATTTCTATTTACCAAGTTTCAGAAAGTACAAAAGTATTCTGTTAATTCAGGAGGACCATATTTGTTTGTTTAATTTGCAGGCGAAGAGAAGAAAGGGCGAGGAGGAGCAACAATTATATGATCTTTGATGATGATTATATATATTGAATTTCAGTGTCCACAAAAATGATGCCTAGTTTCATTGTTTTGTTTCGTGTGTTGCTTGAAATGCTAGTTGTACAATGAGAGTGGAATTTGGATTGTGTCCATGTTCAGGGACAAAACAAGACTTAGATTTTGCTCCCTTTTCATCAATTAATTGGTTAATTAGTTTGGTCCTGCTTTTACCATAACAGTACTATTGCATGACACACACACAAAACTTCATGCTTTTCGAAAGCAATTCCTTCATGTGCCCCAAAAGGAAAAAAGGTTTCACAGATTCATTTTCATCATATTTAGAGAGATTCTCTGCGGTTTAGGCATCAATTTTAGTGGCAGAACTTTTTACCTGTGAAAATCAGAGATGAGTTGTTGGAGGAAATATGCCCTTCTATTGATGTTATATAATTAGCTAAATTATTATGTAACTTTTTGAATTATATAACTTAATCATTCATTAGTATAATTATTATTAATCCTTAATATTATGGACTAAATGCATCAATTGGTCATCGAATCTGATCACAGCCTTTGAATTTCACCGATTGGATATTCATATGTTTATTAAGTAAAATTGGTATCAAAGTGACCCATTGAACAATCTATCTATATGAATTTTTTTCAACATAAATAAATGTGGAGTTTGGCCAATCCGATGTAGAAAGTGCCGCCACCTAAATTTTCTCTATCAGATCTCAACCAAAAGTCACATTACTACTAAAAGCAATAATAATGTTAGATAAGCGTTGAGAGATGATTTTTTATACAAATATTGTCATTAGAACTCACCAAACAATTTCTAAGCACCAGATCTTGACGCCCGCCAATTGGATAATGTCGAAACAAAGTACAATATTTACATGTACAAAAAGTAGGTTTTGCTTGTAATACAAAAAAAATGATACACATAGAAATCGTTGACATGTAACCCAACTTAGAGCGTAGAGATGCGCTACTGATCGTGGGAAAAATTTAAAAGGGTGAGCAAAAGTGGATAATAATAGGTTTATAGAGGAAAAAATACTTTACTTCATCAAACAAATATTTTGAGACCTTATTTACACAAACACAAAGGCATATATCATGAGATATATGATGATGCACAATGGATAAATCTCACCACACACCTCAAGAACATTTAACTCCACACCTCTGCAAGTGCCCCTACAAGCCAGAGCCACTGAATGTCTTCACTTGTGTGCGTTGTGCCACTCGCAATAGTTATGTGCTCACTTCATGTGCGCGTTGCACACTTGCCCACTTCGTGTACATGTTACACACTTGCATTTGGCTCACCTCGTGTGTCCTGTTCGCACACTTGCATTGGTTTTCTGGCCCACTCTTCAGTCAGCCGAAACCAACTCCTCTCTATGCCATCAATCACACCTCAATGTTAGGATCCCACATTAAAAGGAAAAAATGGTGGGCTGTGGGTTATAAAAGCTTGAGTATCCTCCTTTGACAAACCGATTTTCCAGAGAGTTCTATCCAAGCCCATGAAAGACCATGACCCAACCCAAATTATTGAGTTATTGGAATGTGGACCTATCATTGGTATCAGAGCATGATCCCGTGCCTATGTGGCAGCACACGCTTGGCAAGCTGACCCATGGTAGGCTACCTTGGGCCTGGGCTGCTACCCCGAGAAGGGGCATGGAGGCCCAAGGAAAGGGGATTCGCGTAGTCACCCAAGAGGTAAAGAGCCGACGGGGTGAGCCGACGTGGACGTCGGTTTGCAGAAGCGTGTGGAATGTTAGATCCCATTGAAGGAAAATGGTGGACATGTGGGTTTAAAGGTTTGGCACCCTCCCTTGGCAAGCCGGTTTTCTAGGAGAGTTCTACCCAAGCCTATGAAAGACCCATGGCCCAACCCAAGTTGTTGAGTTATTGAGTGGGTTCCTATCAATTGGTATCAAAACATGATCTTGCACCTATGTGGCAACGTACACTGGCAGACTGACCTTGGGCCCAATTGCTACCCCGAGAAAGGGCATGGAGGCCCGGGAAAAGAGGATCTGCGTAGTCACCCAAGGTAAGAGGCCGATGTGGACGTCGGTTGCGAAGCGTGGTGGATGTTAGGATCCCACATTGAAAGAGAAAAGGTGTGACATGTGGATTATAAAGGCTGACACCCTCCCTTGACAAACGGGTTTTCTACAGGGGAGTTCTATCCAAGCCTATGAAAGCCCATGGCCCAACATAAATTGTTGGGTTATTGGAATGGTTCCTATCACTAAATTAATCATTTTCAGCAACCTTTAATTTCATATGAACACCATATACAACAAGCGCTAAAAATCAAATTTTTAAAACCCGTCTACTGCAAAATCACTGCACAACACCACTTCCAGTCCACTAACCAACCACCAACCACTTTCAATTTATCACAACAAGACAAAGATTCAAATAAACAAGTATCACACCCAAAACCAATACTTGGGAACAACTCAACCCAACACTTGTCGAGCACAACCGCCAACTAATAAAATATCCCGTGGGATCCGCAGGCCAAATTTCCCTCTACAACTCTTAGAGAAAAGAGAACAACAACAACAACATCAACAACAAGAAGCTTCATGCTCCGCCTATCCTTCTTTGAACATAACCGGTAACGACGACGACGACGACACAAACAACATCACTGAACCCAGCTTCTCAAATCGCTCTGCTACTCAAGTTTCTGAGGCGCCGAAGAAACCTCCTCCGAAGAGGACCTCAACGAAGGACAGGCACACCAAAGTTGATGGACGTGGGCGCCGGATCCGCATGCCTGCCGCCTGTGCAGCTAGGGTTTTTCAGTTGACCCGAGAACTTGGCCACAAATCGGACGGTGAAACCATTGAGTGGTTGCTTCAACAGGCAGAGCCAGCTGTGATTGCCGCCACTGGAACAGGTACTATACCTGCAAATTTTACGTCCCTTAATATATCTTTAAGGAGTTCAGGTTCTAGTATGTCTGCAAGTCATTTGAGGAACAGTTATTTCAATCCGAATTTCGGTTCACAACAATTAAGGAATATTCGAAATGAATGGGAAAGAAATATAATTGATGATTCATCTCAACAGAGAAGGGTTTTGTTTCCCGGTGTTCCTTTATCATCGGATGATTCTTTGAGCTTTCCTTTAAGTTCTAGTAATGTGAATGCTATGTTACAAACTAATAATCATAAGCAAGAGTTACGTGATCATAACACAAGTTTAGATATGGTGTCTAATAATGCGGAGACGAGTATGGGAAGGAAGAGAAGGCCGGTGGCGGAGCAAGAATTGGCGCAAAATCAGTTGGGGAATTACTTGATTCAATCAAGTACAGGGTCTATTCCGGCAAGTCAAAGCACGACTCCGGCGACATTTTGGATGGTGGCAAATCCAAGTAACCAAGTTGTGAGTGGTGGTGGTGACCCCATGTGGACATTTCCTTCTTCGGTTGGTAACAGTAATATGTATCGGGGCTCTATGTCTAGTGGGGTTCATTTTGTGAATTTTCCAACACCTATGGCGCTTTTGCCTGGACAGCAATTGGGTTCAGGAATTGGTGGCAGTGGTGGCATGATGAGTGATAGCCATTTAGGCATGCTTGCTGCGCTTAATGCATATAGAACCCTTCCCGGTTCTGTTGCTTCGGAGTCTCCGGCCAGTGCCTCTCATCAACACCATGGCGGTGAAGATGGCCAAGATTCAACTAGTCATCATTCCTGAGTGTATGGTTTGATCATCGTCTTGTTAATTTTCTTTTACTTATATATGTGCATATTGCTACACATGAGGCACTGCTTTGATATTGAGTTGAATATTCAGATTTTTGGTGTGAGAGCTGAGGAAATTTAATTAGGGTTTGATGATGAGAGATTAATTATTATTAACACGAACAGGAGTATTAGCTGGTTCTGAAGAAGTCTTAATTATTATTAATTTCTTCTGGGTGTGACTAATTAAGAATGTTGTCATATTTTCAAGATTACTTAGCTATAGCTATAACATTTCTTTGGGTTTAAGAAAGAGACTAATATGCATGCAATATTGAAATTTTGTTGAGACTCTTTACTAACTTGCACTTGATGTTAATTAGGTTTAACAAACTTCACATTCTAATAATCTCTTATCTCCTAGTTCACTCAACAGGTGAGAATTATGAGGAAACTAAATTAAATAATGCTTTACATTATGATAATTTTCTACAATTAATCATGTGTTGTGGGTATATATGATTTTGTGATTTTGATACCATGATGATCAAATCAGAAAAAAGGTCCAGCTAGCCTATACTAGGAAGGAGGAGCCCACCACATAAGACCACATTCAATCTTGAGTTGCTCTCTCAGGTGGTGTGAAGTGCAGGTCATTTTGCCAAATGCCAGCAATGTTGAACCACTGAGTAGCGAGATCGATGATCGTATTATATATTCTTCCTCTTTTTCATATAAAGGAATGGTGCTAGCTATATATATACAGTTTAATTGATGGTTGGTATAATTAAAGACCTTTCAATTCCATACCTGTCCCAAATATTTAATCATCTCTGACCCTTCATCAGATGGCCTGGTCTCCTTGATGGATCATCCTAACTCTTCTTTAATTTCTGTACGTACTGTATGACAGGCAATCCGAGATGTGGGACTTCTTGGGCATTTAAGATTATCAGTTGGCTTAATTTGCTTTTTTGTTTATATATAGTGCAGTGAATGATTGGTTAAACATATTTCTTTTAAGGGCTTTGCAAGTTTATATATACTTAATTCTCTCCTGATGCATGGATGTATGTTCTTCGCATTACATTAATCTATTTATTTACGCAAATTAACGTAACCCTAATTACATTATCTTCTTATATGTAATATCCTTAATTATCGATCACCATTAAATGGGTAAAACTGAAGATGTGTCATGTTTGTTAATTTGTTCTATCTTTTTACTTAACTTGCTGGTTCAACTGAATTTTCGGCTTTATCCACTCAGTAATAAAATGAGGTTTCGTAGCTACCTTAATGAAGCGGTTAAAATTAGTTAGTCATATCTACCTTGATGGGTTGGTGAATTTATATATCATATAGTGTTGGCTGAGTCATCATGATAAGAAATTCAACTTGTTGCTCAATCATGTAAGAGCTATCTATAATTAATGGGTCCATACTAGATCTTTACTTAGGGATCCATGTTAAAAATAAAGTGAATCGTGCAAGTTGTTTCCTTAAAAATAACCTAAGTGATTATGGAAATAAATTTATATATTAATAACACGAAGATAGCATATGGATCAGTCTTCCATATGTTCTAGTTCATTGTGATGTCTTCTATTTCCAATTTGTCCATGGAAATGATGATCTATGTATGTAGAGTACCCATTATTAGTTGAATATTAATGTATCTAAACTTTTAAATGTTTTGGGTAGCTAGACATATAAAACTGAATTAATGGGTGATAATTAATGAGGTAATTGATTTCGGAATGGGGTAGGGCTTTTTCATTCATCATCAAATAAGAACATGCACTATGGCCTATAGGGATTAAGGTCCCGTAGTTTATAAACTTTCTTCATACTATTTAATTATAGCCCTAACTGTACCACTGCTCCTCCTTAATTCCTCAATAAATAATTGCTTATCCTCTTACGTAAGTCCTCTATATTGCCTCCTACCGATTTCATTCATGAAAATTAAAAGAAATTATATCAAGAACAGAGGCAATTCATATAACATTGTAATTTGCAAATGCTACCACTAGGCTATATACCTGAACTTCTTTCATATAAATAGTACTAGAGAGTCAACTTTAAGATGCAAAAGGCATATGCAATTCATAGAGCAGAGACTTAGGCATTCTGGTCTATGAGTTGATTTACCCAGAAATGCATTTATTCAGTCCTACTGGAAGCATGCATGATAATTTCATATTTAATTTTAGTTAGACTGTGTTTGGTGAATATTAGTGATGATTGTTAATTATTAATGGTTGAAGATTAATGTTATGCACAGTGGGTGCCATAATGCCCAAGCTGGCATATTATATATTTATTTGTCTAGGTCTACTTACTTTCCAGTTCATTTCCATTCTTTTTTTCATGTCTATTTCTTATACATATTCTACAGACAAGCATGGTCATCAATGATGAGGAGTGTGTGTGTATATGTATATATATATATATATATATATATATATATAAGTTGTAACTATTTATATTAAAATTCACAGAATCTATGATTTATATAAAATTAATAAATTTAAATTCAAAGGAATTAATATTATTATAAGCTGCTGGATGAACTGTCAGGTTTTTTTCATGAGCTATAAATAATATACTAACATGGAAAGATATGATCGTTTGCTACCTTATTTATTATCTGGCTGACTTTTCTTTTCTTCTTCACATTTAATAATTTAATTTAATTTTTTAATATGAATATCTGGCAGGCATCATATGCATATGCTCCATTCTCCAATTGACTAGATGACACTTGACAGGGATATGGAAAATTCCGCTCTACATAATTCCATCATCATCATCAACCAGATTTTTATTAAAAAAAAAAAAAAAGCATAGAAATTAATATATATTCACGTTGTTATTTTATATTTATTATTTCTTAGCTAAAAACGAAGAGTATATAATATATACGTATCAATACAGTAGATCGAGGAGAGATATAAAATAATTTTTTATCAACTATTTGTTTATATACAAAACAAGTTAAAAGGACTTAAAATTTAATTAATAATGTAGTAGAATCAAATCATCTCATTTACTATAGTTTTTACTTCTTTCCAACCTTAACAAATTCAATAACCTCAGGCCTTAAAATTGTATTATTTTTTTCCTATCAAAATATGCTTAATAGTATTATCTGTGCAAGGATTTGGAAAGTGAGCAAGTGAATGGTTGGCCTTTAAATTCGAAACAAACTTAAAGGATGAGTTTGATGCATGTGTTTATCTTTCAGAAACAACAAATACATATATTCTTGGGCTGAGTTTATGACANAGAATTAAGCACCAATTCAGGTAAAAATGCACTAGAAAGTACCTGAAATCCGACAAAAAGATCAAATAAAAACTGTATAATTTACGGATTATCAGGTAATCCCCACTTCAGTCCACCTTCCAACTTCCTGGATTATTTTATGCAGAAATGTAAAGTTTATCAAATGGTGGTAGACTCCACAAGCCTAAGTATCGAACTACTCTCCACTAATATGGACTAGACATCACTAAGGATCAAAAGGTCTTTGCAAGCTTGTAATGTTAGACTTGGGTAGTGGGCTCCAAGGAAAATGATAGGATAAACAAAATAAGAGAACTCGGGGCTCCAAGGAGAATGATATTGTTCTATAAGCTAATTCTAATACTAATTTCTTCCTCATATTGTAGTGCTGATTGCGGGGTATATGCATTGTCATTTCTTAAGTTCGACATGACTAACACCCCAATGGACAGCTTGAATGATGATACACTGAGCAACTTTCGGGAGCACTTGGCTGTTGAGTGCTTTCGCTGTCATACAGATCCCTTAGTTACTATGGAAGGTATGCTTGTGATCACTAATCTGTACCAATTCTTTTATTTTGTGTTTGTTGGTGATGTTGTAGGCATGGATCATTGAGTCATTGACCAAGTGTAATGTTGTTTTCAATATTAATACAAATTCTGCTGATGGCTGTTAGGATTGTGAAGCACACCATGAAAATTATCAATCTTTTGACTAAGCAAAACCCAATTTAAGTCATTATTGATGCTGTCATCAACAGGTATGGAAGTCGGACTTAAAGTTTTATAGTTTATGTAAATTGCATTTCTTATATGGATAATTGGGTTTTCTTGAATTGGATAAGCTGGTGTTGTTATGCGTTAGGCTATTGATAATTGGGTTGTAGTGCATTAAACTAATGTTATGTATGCTTTGTTGCCAAGGCCAAGGTTGGATAATGTTGAAAGGGGTGCTGTAGAAGAAGACAAAGAGGCTACTGCTGTTGCTACTGTTGCTGTTGAAGGGGGTGTTGGATAGTTTTGGAGGATGGGGAAGTGGCTGAAGACAATGATGAAGAGGGGGGATAGAGGCTGCCAAGGCTACTATTATTTTGGGTTCCTTTAGGACATTTATTTCTTGTTTATAATGTTGTATTTTCATGTAAATGACACATTTCAGATTTATAAATGAGCAATTTAGAATTTCTTTCCCTTTTTTGACTTTGAGTTTATTTAGTAATCTTGTTGAATGGAATTAATATGTGTTGATGCAAATAGTTTGTCAAATTGAGGAGAAAAGATGAAATTAATATGTGTTCGCCATGGTCGCTTAAGCGATGTCTGGTATCGCTTAAGCGATCAAGGGTTTCCTATACAGGGTGCACTTGGGGATGATCTTGATACTTCTTTGGAATTGATTGCTTAAGCGATGTATGGTATTGCTTAAGCGACGAAGGCTAAATATACTGGATCGCTTAAGCGAGACTTGACATCGCTTAAGCGATCGTGCACTTGGGGATGATCTTGATGTTGCCTTGGAATTGATTGCTTAAGCGACGTATGGTATCGCTTAAGCAACGAAGGCTAAATATATTAGATTGCTTAAGCGAGACCTAACATCGCTTAAGCGATTGTGCACTTGGGGATGATCTTGATACTGCCTTGAACTTGATCACTTAAGTGATGTATGGTACCGCTTAAGCGACGAAGGCTAAATATATTGGATCACTTAAGTGATCGTGCACTTGGGATGATCTTGATACTACCTTGGAATTGATCGCATAAGCGATGTATGGTATTGCTTAAGCGATGAAGGCTAAATATACTGGATCATGTAACCGAGACCTGAC